TATCATATTATTTTCAGATGCTAATTCTTCGTTTCCTTTTTCTTTGAGCGGTGAGGTGGTCAGGTGTTACGACTAAGCCAAGGGCTTGTGAATTTTGTGTTATAGTGTAACTGAATAGTTTTGTTTTCATGGTTCAGCTGGATCAGATGTTGTTAGCATGAAGTGCAAAGCTGACCATGTTGAGGGTGGTTATGTTCTGAATGGAAACAAAATGTGGTGCACAAATGGTCCAACGGCTCAGACGCTGGTACTTCTCTTCAATGTTTCTGTCCTTACTTTTTGACTTTACCAACCTTTCGCCTCACTTAATATTGTTTGATTGATATTACTTCCTAAGGAGTTGTCTTTTGTATTACACATATTATAGATAAAAATGGAACTGTTTTTACGTTGTTAGAAATATATAGTCTTGAGAATTTGAATTTAATTTGACATAGCCAATCTGTCAGATGAGATCTCATGCTAAGGAACATGTGAAGACAAATGTCTGTTGATGGGAAGAAGTGTCATATACTACTACACACACACTTTATACCATATGAAAATCAATGTGTTACGGACATTTGAGGAGAAAAAAACCAGTTTCAGCTCTTTTCCTGCAAAGTTGAAGGGCTGATTTCTGGATGAAGCTGATTTGTGACATGTAGTGAGGGTGGGAAAAAATATAGTTGTTTCTTAAGAATTTAAATTAAGTGAGAAAAAATAGAAATATTTATTTGTCTTCCTGAGAGTAGTAACTTTCTTTGTGCTAAATGAATCATTTGACAAGCAATCCTTTTATTCCAGTTGAATTCGATTCACTACATGGGTTTCAGTAATTGATTTGGATTACAGCCTCGCATAATCACTTATTGTCACTTGGTTGGCACATCTGCAATCGCAGCAGCAATGAATAGTGGATAATCTGTTTACAATGTTCAAGGGCCAATAACTTATTCCAACGTTACTTAAGAACTGAATAGTTGTCACCTAAGTTAATTTGATTAGCTATTGTAAAGTTACTTTCGAAATATACTAATGATTCACCTGCAGAAGTCCATATACTTTCCGCTTTTAGAAAAAGTTCTCGTCTTTCCTGTTCATCCATCCTTTCCCTACATATACAGGTGTATGGTGTTTGTTTGTGCAATCCTCTTACAGTTCAATTTCCCTGATTAGATGAAAATGAGGTCTTTTTTGTTCAAACTTGGCTTTAGAAATAGCCATTTGACATTTTCTCCCATCCTTCTAACTAAGTGCAATCATTGTGTATTTGGCCTTTGTATTTCTGATCTTATTCTGAAAGGGAATACAATTGTAAGGTTCATTTATGAAAATCTATTTCTGGACAGGTTGTTTATGCAAAAACGGATGTCACAGCCGGTTCAAAAGGAATCACAGCATTCATTATCGAGAAGGAAATGACAGGGTATGCACCCTGTACTGATACTACTTGAAAGAAATGAAAACTGAGAAGAGAAGACTTAAAGTTTCTCGTTTTATTTTTTCGTAACTACATGATTGCACGACACAAATAGTAAAGTATGATAAATTATAACAAAAACACTAGAATCTCCAGGGAGCTTGAGAAATGCTTATTCTTCTTATTGCTGAATATGCAGATTCTCTACTGCCCAGAAATTAGACAAACTTGGGATGCGAGGAAGTGACACGTATGTACATCTTGCCCAAGTGCTGCTCTGTTTGGATTCACATTTTTGTTACTATGTTGAAGGTGGCCTAATAAGTTTACTCTTTAACTGTAGATGTGAGCTTGTGTTTGAGAACTGTTTTGTTCCTGAAGAAAATGTTCTGGGGCAAGTAGGAAAAGGTATGAGTTCTGAGTTAACTTCTATGTTGGCCCAAATATCTTGCCTTATTCCGTTAGGTAAGCTTAAGTCTTTCAGAAGGTAATGGGGTGCGGCAACGTTAGGTAAGCTTAAGTCTGCCAAATATTTTGCCTTGTTCCGTTAGGTAAGCTTAAGTCTCTCAGAATTTCCCTCGGTAATGGGGTGTGGCAATGTTAGGTAAGCTTAGGTCTCCCAAATATCTTGCGTCATTCTGACTCAGTGTTACACCAGACCAGTATAAGGACAGCCAGCATTAGTGAGCTTTAATCCAAACTAGCTAGTAATATGTGTGGATTTTTTAAATTTTTGCATCTACTTGTTTTATTTCAATTTGTAGGAGTTCTTTCTATTTTCAAATTTCTTAAAATGTTTAAAACCATTTAATTTTTTAAAAAAAATTGTTTTCTTATAATTCAATTCAATCAAATTATCCAAATTTTAAACTCTGACGTGATATTTTGTCTTATCAAACCAACTTTTCTTCTATTACTTAACCAATTTCCTCCATTATTAATACAATGCCCAAGTCATAATGAATATCTTAAACTCTTTGCCTAGTCAAATACCATCATAGCAATTAAAAGGAGAGTATTCGTTTTCTACGTTAACTCTGCACAGATTGTAGCCTTTTGTGATGAAAGTTATTTTTGGTTCCTAGTCTCTTTCATGATCTCACACATGAGTTATATGAGGAGTGAAGTTCTAGTAGAAGCTAAGTGGACATCATTGGTACCATCTCTCTCAGAAAAAGCTTTTCTACTGCTTCAGGTGTTTATGTCCTGATGTCGGGGCTTGATCTGGAAAGACTTGTTTTGGCATCTGGTCCTGTTGGAATTATGCAAGCTTGTCTTGATGTTGTTCTCCCCTATGTTAAACAACGCGAACAATTTGGTCGACCGATTGGAGAATTTCAATTTGTGCAGGTTATAACTACTGCCTTCTGCTATAATTAAACTTTCCATGGTTCCTGATATTTGTTGGTATAAATTCTTAATATATGTTGCTTATTGACCTGAAAATATAGGGAAAAGTTGCTGACATGTATACATCTATGCAATCTTCAAGGTCTGGTGTTCTTTATTGTCACACTTCTTGTCCATATTTTTTTTCCCCTAAATCTGATCAATACATGTGCTTGTTCTCTTTCATGAACAGATCTTATCTCTATTCTGTCGCAAGGGAATGTGACAGCGGGACGATTAATACCAAGGTCCTTGCACTAGAAATTTGTGTTTGTTTTCTTCTTTTTTTAGTTTCTCAAACTTTATCGAAGCTAAAATTTAACCAAACGAACATTTTTCCCCTTTGAACTTAACATGCTTTCAATTTTGTTTGTTTAGGATTGTGCTGGTGTTATACTCTCTGCTGCTGAAAGAGCAACCCAAGTTGCTCTTCAGGTGAGAAACTTTATTCTTTCTGTACCTCTGTGATAATTATATCTTCTACCCATAGGCTGTCAACTCATGTGTCACCCTTAGTTTGGAACTTCTGTTATCTCTTACTGGTTCAATAATATACTGAAAAGGACCGCCATTTCTGACGAGTGGATTCTTCAAAAATCTCTCTCGTCTTGGCTTATTCCAGTAATACCATGGATTTAAAGGCACACAAATCTCTCGGTCCTGCCTCCATCGTTCACCGAGTTCCAAAAAATGTCCTGTCCCAGAAAGATGATATGCTTATGAGATTGTTGCGTGTGTTGCAGGCTATTCAGTGCCTTGGAGGCAATGGCTACGTGAATGAGTACCCGACTGGACGTTTTCTCCGAGATGCCAAACTATATGAGATTGGTGCAGGCACAAGTGAGATCAGAAGAATGATAATAGGCCGTGAACTCTTTAAAGAACAATGACATTGACATTGATAGTTTATCGAGTTCCTTGAGAAATTAGTACAAATTGTTACACACACACACTCTTTTCTTTTCATTTGGAATTAAAGAAAGAAAAAAGTTCATTCCTTTTATTTTTGTGTATGAATAATGTATTTATCCTAGGTACTCCTATCAAATGAAAAGAATGTGTTGTGAGTGTTGTTAAAAACCAGCTTGCAGTCTGAGAAATGTGGATACATATTCAAAATAGCACAAAACATCCTGTGTTCATGCAGGGTTCGAGAAAAGGCTATCTTATTTTAAGGGTGTGTAATGTAGACAATTTACGCTGATACTAGAAAAACACTTTTGGGGGGACAATAAAGAATTTTGTTTTCCTTTTTTCTTTTTTAAATGAGATTTATATATAGCCTATGAAAATTGGTTTTAGTGCTTTTATATCATTTTGGTGATCCACATCCACTTCATTAAAATATTGAAATAGTAAGCCCACATAGACATAGGATAGTATTATAGTACTTGTGACCTATTGCCACTACCAATGCAATCTAGGTAGTAGACCTTAGATGGCACTAAGTCACTAAAAACCAACTCCCCTTCCCCACAAATTTGTAATTAGAAAAACACTCTTTTCACAAAGTAGTGTTGTCTAGCCCAGATTTTCAATCCATAATACTCCTACTAAATAAAATATTTGACAAAATGGAATAATATAACCTTCTAAGATTAAGTAGGTAATATTTTTATTTACCAAACACAAGTACACAACTTGGTTTTGGTAGGTGGGCTCCACTTTTTCTTTTTTGGTGCGTTTGTGTCCAATCCGTTACATAGTTGTCTTAATTACATCGATCTTCAATTATATCCACCCAAGTATTCTTGGACTTGCCCTCTAAGTCGAGCTCAACATCTTTCTATCATGTACTTAGTTGTCTCAATATTACATTGATCTTAAACTATCATCACCAAGTATTCTTGCCCTCAACCTTTTGGTCAAGCACCACCTCGTGCGCGCTAGGTTCAAGCAACTGCATACCACTTTGGGGTGGGGGTTAGAAAGAAAGGGGTATTCATACAATGTTCAATATTATACATAGTGAAACATAATTAGAATTCAGAGTTATAATGACATATGAGTCACCACATAGTTTTCATCATACAAGCTCCCATTGTAGTTGATTACAGACTTCCAACATTTAACATAACATGTTAAGTGACAATAATTTATTAAACATAACAAGAACATGTAGTAGGTAGAGTACTATTATCATCACATATATCACTTAACATAGCATAAAAAAAGCATGAACATTCATAGGTACTCCATTCAAACTTTATTCAAATCCTGATTACAGTTGGAGATGAATCAGGCTGGCCAACTGAAGAAGACTTTGAGACATCCATGATTGCTGGTGCCTCCTCCAAACAACTTTGAGTGTCATCGCTGATCCCCTCAATAGTCATTTTCTCCACTTCTTCTTGAGTGTATATATGGATCTTGGATACTACCTCACAGAACTCACTGCGAAAAGTCATTTAGAAGGTACACAAGTTACTGATAAGCAAATCAATCTATTAAGGGAAATTATACTTTTTCGAACAACATATCCAACAAGTGTAATCCCACAAGTGAGGTCTGGGGAGGACAGTGTGTACAGACCCTTACTTTTTCCCTGAACCAAGATTTTGCTGCTCGGCAGAAGTTGCAAAATAACAAGTTCTAATTTAAGGTGTGTGGTATGAAGGAAAATGTTTTTTCCAGAAAATGCTTTCTTGAAAAAAAGTGTTTATTATTTATTTTCTTGTGTGTGATAAGTAGCTTTGTGTATAAATTCAAGGGAAACATTATGTGTGGTGGGAGTGGCGAGAATGGCGAGAATGGGGTGTGGGTGTGTTGGGAGGGTGGAATGGAGAAAATCAGTATGGTATGCTATTTTAGGAACTTGTTTTCCCTACTTCGACTAAGGAAGTCATTTTCCTCATATTTAAAGGACTTATTTACTTGAAGAAAATGTTCTCCAAATTTTTTGATCAATCAAAGACGGGAAAATTGAAGAACATTTTCTCAGAAGCATTTTTCCTCCATAATAAACACACATTGGAGGGTAAAGTGTATGCGGACCTTACCCCTACCTTGGAGGTAGAGAGGCTGTTTCCGATTGACCCTCAGCTCAAGGAAAGAAATTTATCTTAACCTGGGAGAAGAAAAGTAAAAGAATACTTAGATTTCAAGTGGAGGTTAGCTAATATCCAAAACTCCGATTTCTAGTGGAAGTCAGCTAATTGGAAGAGAAATTTGTGTGGTTCTAGTGATTCATATGCATTAATAAACCAAGAAGTAATATTTTTTGAATGTAGTATCAAACAATTGAGACAGTGATGAGAAACGGAGATGCATGAGAAAGAGACTTACTGCCATGGATCATCTCCGACAACCATCATGTCATTCTCACTGTCAGTGTACAAGATTCGCCACCCCTTGTTGGGATCTCTTAAGAGGTCTTCCATGTTGAAAAGCCTCTCCAACTCAACCAGCAAGTCGTCATAGCCATTCAATCTCGAGAGATCAATGGCTCGTCCAACCAAGCTGCCTTGTTTGTGAACCTTCACGCCATTTATTCAATATTAGCAATAGAGTCCAAAGAAAAAACAGTTCCAATTCGCTATGTGCAACTTATGGAAACTTACCTTAGTACAGCTCCTCTTACCAGAACTCTGCGAGCTAGGAGTAGATGGTTCTTTCGTCAAGGAAAAGCCAAACAGTTTACATGGAGCCTGTGCATTGAAGGAGTCGTCATTTTCATTCTTGAAATGGTTCTCTGGAATGGACACTTTAGACATCTCCGGTGGCCTCTGCTCATTTACAAACTTTGGCATTCCAACTTCTTCCCTCCTAACCACATTTTGGATTGAATTCTGGTTCAAGGTAGGATTTTCTCTTTGGAAATTAGTACTGTAGGAGGGAACCACGGGATCTTGTCCAGCTCTATACATCGCATTGTAAGGTAAAAACACATTCCTCGCCCCTTCAGAAGCGAGAGGATAGAAATTGGCTCTCGGCCTCTGATATGTGCCGAAAACATTGCAACCAAATTCAGGTTTTCCCCAAGCACCAAAATTAACATCACCTTTTCCAGTAAGGGATCTCAACGAGCAAATTTCTTGACCTTGCAAGACCTTTGGAAACCTATTGGATTCCAGAAAGCCTGTGTAGGTTGTTGGAGGCTGAGTTTTCACAAAGTCACCAACAATAATGTTCTCTACACCATTTGGCATGAGATTGTGACGAGCTACTCTTTGCAGCTCGAAATCCAGTGGGCGGACTGGTTTATCACAACCATAGGGAGGTGATATCAGACCTAAATTTTCTTGACCTTGCAAGACCTTGGAGGATCTTATTGACTCCTCAAAGTCTAAAAGAGCACTCCCTCCTGATAAAATAACAAAATCGGAATAAAAATGAACTTCAGTGGAATCACAACTTAATGAAAACACCAGCAACAACATACTCAGTGTAATCCCACACAGTGGGATCTGGGAGGGTAGTGTATACGTGTACGCAGACCTTCGTAGAGAGGCCTGTCTCCAACAGACCGTCGATTCAAGGATAAAAAAAGTCCAAACGCAGTACCCATACGACATAATGACAACATAATACAAAAGGATTTAGAAAAGTTAGATCAGTACCAGCAAAATGGCTGTCCAGTACTGATGGTGCCTGCTGACTAGTCCGCAGTTTCTTCAGTCTTGGTGAGGACTGAATGCTCAGTGGTGGTAAGGAAACTGAAGAATCAATTTCCCAAGGAGAAACCCGTTCCTGATGATTACTCATTATATCTTCATCCCATCTGACCTATTAAAGTTGATGACATAGGCACATATATCAAAAAGTTTATAAGTTGCTTAATAGGCCTTATACTTATTGTAACAGTTTTGTTTGGGAAGATAACTCAAAATATACAATAGGTGAATGTATTTAATTGTATTGCCGATAGCAAACTCTATTAGCCTTGACACGAAAAAATCAAGCAAGCAACTTATAACTAGCAAACTTTATCAGTCTTGACATGAAAAAGAAATCAATAAAGCATCTTACAACACCAGACCATTTAACAATTTCTCATCATATTTCAGTGAGAATAGTTTGATAATTCATGGCATGACCAATTTTTATGACCTGATCAAACAAACCAAAAAATATACGGTCCTTCCAGTGTTCCTAGAGGTATTCAACAAGCAGATTTACATGTTACAAGATCTCTAAGTAGAGCTGATCTAACTCACAAGGTAACACCGGCAGAAAATTCAAGAACATATATGCCTCTGTGAATAACAAGGGAGCAAAAAAATCGCCCTGAGATAAATAGAAGAACAAGTTCCAACCTATTCAAAAAAACATGAAGTGATAGGTGGAGCAATACCAACTACTCCCGTCGTTTTAATTTGCTTGTCTTACTTTCCTATTTAGTTTGTTTAAAAAAAGAATGCCTCTTTCCTTTTATGGGAACTCTTCAGTTACAACTCTCCACATGATATGTTTATGACCACAAGACTAAAAGGCATTTTGATACATTCTACATATCTTTAGTTTAAGACCTCAAGATTCAAAAGTCTACTGTATTCTTTTAAACTTCGTACCAAGTCAAAACCAGACACAAATTGAAACGGAAGGAGTACTTAAAAAACAACAAAATGATAACTATATGTCAGGCATACCATCAAGCATCTCCATTTAGAGTTGGGCCATCTAAAGGGATCCATATCGCTTATCCCAGTCACTACACCGCTGTACCTGCATGCAGTGATGGAATGTTTTTATTACAACAGAAACCAATGAAAGGAAGAAGAGCATATAATGGTATTTAGTAAGGATACAATTACCTTCTTTCAGGTGAATCATCCAAATCAAATTTCATTTTAAATCTTGTCCCAACAGGAATCCGAGAGTTGATGGCTTTCACGTACTTTTGGTAAGGTACAACGAAATCAGCATGACTTGCCCTACATTATAAGAAAAAACTTTTAACTCAAAATGATCTACGTAGCAATAAAAGAACAACAATAATATCTTGACAATTCGTGACACAAACTTCTGAAAGCTGCAGCAGTGACTAAAGAATAAACTTCACATGTTTTAAGATTCGGACTTGACTACAGTCTACAAGATTGCACATAATATGAGACTTTTTCGTCCACCAGAATATTTTACGAAAATCATAGTTCTTTGTTATTCCTTATTCCTTGGGAAATAAACGGTTTCATAATCAGGACAAGACTTCTGCTTGAAACACATGAATTGAAAGAAGCAGCAGAAATAATAATTTTTCTCATCCTCTCGACTGAATCAACCCTTCCATATTGTCAATGGTTTTACCAATAGGTAATATTTTTTTAAGTCTGAATTTTCACACGTTGAATCAGGAGCATTAATATCTTTATACCAGTGAATCAAATTTCTTACATATCTAACAGAGATGCAAACTTCCTCGCCAACTTTATACACCATGGGTTCTTCCAAAAGAAATTTAGCTTCTGGGATGTAAAACTGGTTTCATAACATTGAAATAATTCACTTCGATGATATATTTAACTGTTAACATTTTCTTATTCAACTCAAACATGAAGAAAATCTGAATGAACAACATTGCATCGAATATGAACATCACTAAAAAGAGACAGCTGCTTCATTTCATAAATATGAAAAGGCAAAGTACTTCCCCTTTCCAGGTAAGTGCAGTTATATATATGATAGCACAGAGTGAAAGATTTGGGTCAACCTCAAAATCATCCTTTTGATGTTTTAGATGCTGACAATGAAATATGAACTAGCCGAAGTAGAGATTACCAGTAGACAAGTTGCTTTCCTAGCATTGACCTACTAGGAAATCTACTTGATATGAGCCACTACAGCATGCATTGCACTACATTTGCATAAAAAGACATGCATCTGAACCACTCAGTCTAAACGAATGAGTCTAAGTTGTCTCTCAACTGAAAAATTTTCATGAGATACCTGAAGTTCAGAATCAGAGGACTATTAGTTGGAAGATAATTGATGGTTTGGCAAACAGAAAGATCACTGCCTATAGAATGGATCAAATACCTGGGTACTAGTATAAGTTATGATACAAAAATAGACCTTAGGTCTAATTCAACCCCAAAAACTAGCTCATAAGGTGAGAATTCTCCAAGACCATATTAAGAGACTCCATACCTCTTTTTCTTTGAACATCTAGACTCCATACCTATTATAAAAAGGAAAAGAGGTTTTTCAACCCTAAATGACTGATGTGGGAACTCAACAGTCAACACCCCTGGCATGCCGAAAAAAATGGATTTTGGGTCTAACATAACTCCAAAAGCTAGCTCATGAGGTGAGGATTGTCCAAGACAATATAAACAGATCTTCTCATCCCTAAATGACCAATGTGGGGAGCTCAACGAGTTACTACCCTCAATTATGTTTTGTTCTGCAGCTGATGCCACATAAATAAACAGAAAGCCACTAGTTGTGCCTCAATCTAGGAACAAACTAACAAATATAATAAAGATGGATCGCAATAAAGCCAAATATATTGCCACACTGCTATGAAACCATATCAGTTCATTTTGGAGCTCCCCAATTGTAATCTTCCAAATCTTACTTCATAATTCAGTGCATCATTACTATAACAACACAATATTTGTTAGCAATGATGGCAATCAGTGATGTTTCAGTGCTATCTCACTAAACCAATACAATCATTCTATCTACGACCTTTCAAGTAATTACAAACATTTAAACTGCAACATGATTACAAGTAGTACCACCCATAATCAACTTAGTTTGGATTTTTCAAAAGCATATTTATGTCAAATAAGTGAGTATAATATTATCACTGGATATCAAACTTCACACCATCAATACTAGCTTAGTTCCCAAGTTTGACAGTAAACAGTACAACTTTACTCCTCCAGAACTGTTTCCTTAAAGCAAAGCAAATCTTCTAATACAACTGATCTGCACGAAGAAGGCCTACACACCTACACCATTTGTATTTGTTAAGATATTAATTGGACACTAAAACGGTGGTATCCAAAACAAAGACAATTCATTTCAATCTCTGCAAATGACTGGTTGGATGGAAATAAGCAATCTTTGTTTATATGTATTTGGTTATTATGCCTTCATGACTTAAATGCAATTAAAATATAAGCTATGTGAATATCAAATCTCATTAACGTCGCACAGCCTAAAATAGTAAAAGATGTATGGATGAGGGATATTGCCACGGATTTTACCATATAAATAGGCCAACAACTAAATAGAGAACTATACACAGAGATATAGTGAGATACCTTGGGCTATAGAAAACATGGAAAGTGCTCTTTGCTGATAGGGCTGTAGCAACTGACGAAAGAACATCCGGTCCAGAATATTGACTTTTGATTATCGATTCAGGAAGCCCATTTCTAGGTCTTGCAGCTCTTCTTATTCCCAGTCTGAGATTTCCACCTTCTCCCCTGCAAGGATCATCTGACTGCTTGAATAAAATTTAAATACCTATTGTGACTAAACAAGCTTCAAAAGTTGAACAGAGGATCATTAAGATCTTGGCATTGGCATCCTAACGAGTCACCATGACATATTGAAAACCTAGATATTAGACCTAATGATTTTCCAGCTTCCAAGTACAATGACTTGATATTTTCATATCGGTCACTTTCCACCCTCATTCCCTTTCCCAGCTCACCGTCAAAGCTGCTTTAGTACCTAAAAAGATGAACCATTTGGAGTATACCATTGAGCTGATATTGTGGGGTTTGTTAAGAGGTGTGAATGAGAAAATGAATAGGTGATTTCCTAAAAAAAGACACCAGGGGAAATGATGTGATTTGAATAGCACCTTTACATTGGATAGGTTGTAACTTTTCCGTACGGCACAATAACACTTGTTCAAACTACCCTTTGTTGACTATAATTCATGTGCGCTTCCTAGGATTTTTACTTACCAAAAATATGAATTACTCTACTTCTTTCTGCAATATTTCATGCACTTGCAAAGTAAGTTGTAAGTGTGATCTGGCTACTCTTAGGGTTCGAAGTACCCTAGGGTTCGAAGTACCACTACACCAGTGTGGTTTATCCATTTTATCATGGGAGAAAATAATCTTATTCCTCGGGTACTAAATTGGATTTAAGTTTCTTAAACACACGTTGTGGATTCAGCGGACTCGAATATAATTTTGTTTCATCTCCATTTATGGTTCTACTTCATTTAAAGTTATACAAAATTTTATTTTCAAATACAGCAAAGTTAACAGGTATGTATACCTCAAGAAGAGAACTGCATCCCCTGAGACAAGATTCTTTTGGCTGACAAAGATACTCCATCCAGTAGTGAGCAAATGTCGCCTTGGCTGGCCTGAAAGAAAAGCATCAAACATTAATATTTCGGACCAAACAAGTATCTAACTATTTAACTCAATACCTCTATAAATGTGACGAAATTTCCACTCTACTCCGTGCAGATCCTTAGCAATTAGCTCCTGTGAGGGTCTTTGCTCTTTGTAATCCTACATTTAATAATGTAGCACCAAGATAGAAGTAAATTAACCAGACAATTACAAGAAATCAACTAAAGATCTCTTTAGCAAAAGCCTGGAATGGAGGTCACACCAGAGGGGGGAAGCAGTCTTCAGCTGCTCGACGGGGAACTGAAAAGCCACCATGGGTGGTGGTATCCGAAGCAGTCAGCGTTTTACAGAACATGTGAGAAGCTGATTTCCCTGGATTGACTCCATTCCCTTCCTCATCCGTCCCCGAATCTTCATGTTCTTTCCCCTCTAAGCTTATAGCCATTGACTGGAAAACACCATGAAAGCAGGGAAAACTCAGTCTAAGCTCAATGTAAGATATTACACTAAAAAACAAAAGACCAATTCAAGTAGAAAAACTGAAAAGATCCCTTTACAGTGAAACCATGTAAATAAATGAACAAAAACAGCAGCTTAACACATTAAAGTTAACACCTTTACTCAGAATTTGAACATAAAACATCAAAAGATCAAAATTGAACATGACACAGCAGAGACAACAACACTAGGTAATTTTTTCTATTTTGTCCAAGACTAGGTGGATAGAGTTACTAGGTCCATGTAGCTGTTGTGGGAGGTGACAGGTATACATGTAATTAGTCAAGAAAATTTAAAAAATCAAGATTGAACATGTAAGCAATAACTGGTCTTACCTCTGGAAGAGGAAGAAGAGTGAGCTGTGTATACACCTCATCATTTTCCTTATTTGCCTGTTATTTGACATCATATAAAAATCAAGGGCAGAAAATATTACAAAAAGAGAAGCAAAGCTAAAACCTTTAAACCAAAAAGGGGCAAAAAATTAAGTCCCTTACAAGCAATTGGACATCTTCCACTCTACAGAAGATCTGAGGCTGAAGACCAAAAGTTGGTAAATCAATCTTGACAGGTGAAAATGGAAAAGCAGAAACAGCTTCTTCCATATGACCTTGAGGGAAATAAACCACTACATTTCCTTTCTTGGGTAAACTAGTAAGAGGACCAGCACAAGCATGCCAAAGCTCTTTATAAATTGAGGTAAGAGCAAGTGAAGAAGATGAAGATACATTTGAAGAACAAGAAGAAGTAGTGGAAGTGTACAAAGAGCAATTAACACAACCCCCACCACCCCCTTTATCACATTCTTCATTACAACATACATTCTTCTCCACTTCACTCACTAATGCATGATTCAGATCAATTTCCATATGAAAAAAAAACACCCCCAAACAAAAAAAATTGGTTCTTTTTTGTATGTTTTTTGTTTTGGGTTTTTCTTGTTTTCTCAGTTTAGCATTACACAGACCACAACAACAGGACACAAAAAAGCAAATTCAAGAAAAGTTGAGTAAGAGGGTAATCAAGTGTTTGCCACAAAGCTGAATAGAAAATTAGGAAAAAAATTAAGTCAAAATCATACTCAAGAAATGCTAATATTTAGAAAAAGGGGTTGTCTTTAAAGCAAGAACAGGAAAAGAAACTCAACAGAAAAGAACAAGAAAGTCATGTTTTTGGAAGGAAATAAGATAAAAAGAAAGAAAAGGGGTTAAAGGGGTATCAAATAATAACAAGAAATTCAAAGTATGATTCCATTTCCACTCCCATTTTGGAGTTGAAAGAAGAGGGAACAGAAGAAGCAGAAGACATAGACAATTGCTTAAGGTAACACAGAAGCAAAAGTTGGAAAAAGCCAATGTGGTTAGTGCCCTTTTGGACTCAAAAACTGTTTTTTTTTTCTTTAATTTGTTTTGAAAGATAGACCCAACACTGTGTTGAGTGGAGGGGACAGGTTAAAGACAGTACAGAACCCACACATCTTCATCAACCATCTCTCTCTCTCTCTCTTTTTTCTCTTTTTTTTCTTTTTTGCTTTGCTTTGTATTGCCTTTTTCTCTTTGTTTTTTTCCTTTTTAAAAATATATGTGGAGCATAATCATAGTATTGATTCTCTTCTTCTCCTTTTTTTTTTTCTTTCTACTTAATTTTTATTTTTTGTTTAAGTTTGATTGATTATGAATGAGTAGGGTTCATGTTAACCGTTCAAACACCAGTCGTCAGTGTTGATATTGACCCTGTTGTTGAAATATTCGATGGTGAGGATGAGCTTATGGCATCCTGAATCAATCTTTCTCTTTCTGTTTAGCTTTGACTAGTCTTTTACTTTTGAGATAAATTTGGACGTCTACTCATTTTAGTAGCTATGTATATATGTTTATCACGTTTTAGGATTGGATATCGTATTTTTTACTTTATATATTTGTCCCTGTTTTTATCTTTCTTTGCGTGCTTTAATTTTTTCCTTTTTTTTGCTTGTGATTTGTTGTATAACTCAGTATATTGGTTATTTGTCGTTCTGGATTATGAATTGACTAGCCTACTGTGGGTTATGGTAGATATCATCATGACTCGAGATATTAAATCATGACAAGTTGGTGTCACGATACTTCTTATTTAGCAGGATTTGTGATTAACAATATAATGTTTCATATTGAGAATCAGTTACAATGATCATCATTCTTTATTCAAATTTGAGATTGTCAAAATGAGCGAGCTCATAAAAATATGGGTGAAGCTAGGTATCGGGATTATTCAAAACCCGTTTAGTCTTCCTTTTCTATTAGAGTTTGGAATTATCAACGCGTGTGAAGTTATGAAATTGAGGCATAATTGTTAGAGGGAATTTAAAATTGGAAAAATAACAGATATTCACTTTTAAGTTCTCTTATTACCATTATCTCCTATTAGTTTTATAAATTTTCAAAATTTCTTATTTTCACGCATCATATTAATGTATCAGTGCATCAAATTAATGTATCTCACGCATCAGATTTGTATATCATGTATAAAATGTATATTAGATTAGTGTATCATGTATAAAATATAATGTATCTTACTTAACGATTAATGTATCTCGCCATTAAATTAATGTATCAGCGCTTATATTATTGTATTAGTTTGAGAGATTTCTTTAATTATAAACTTATAAGAGACAAATGGTAAATTTACCTTAAAAGTATATGATTTCTGTCCCTGTCCTTTAAAAATTTAAGCTTTGTGAATTCAACTTTTAAGATTTCAATACTAAACACATTGTAGATTTACTTTTATGAATTTATAACTACTTTTTGTTACAATGAATTAAAAAGGTCAAACGTAAATTTACGATATACCTTAAAAATATTAAATTCAAATGAATTCTATATTAATACTTTGATTTTGTCGCTGACTACAGTAAGTTGTAGTAGTTAAATTCGAAGGAAATTTTAGTATAATGATAAAAAAGAAAATGTCGATACATGACTATTAAAGTTACACCTTTAAGCCACAGAAATATGAATATTTTTTAAATTCAGATATAGCAAAAGTTTAATGCAACAATCTATTTTTAATTATTAAATTTAGAAAAAAGGGAAAAAGGATATGATAATTTTTTTTATCATGATAGCTCATATATATAATATTGTTATATAAATGATTTACGTAAAGAAAAAAACAATAATTTTAATATAATTTTTTAATAATTTGCTTTCAAAAAATATAATTCATATAGTTTTGGTTTTGGGAGGGAGGTATATTTAATCATCCTTACTCAAATTTATTTATGTTTCACCATTTTACAAATAAAATTTATATAGATATCCAAAAAAAATTACAAATATAAAAATTATATTACAATATAACCAAAAAAAATAGTTTTGATAAAGAAAAATATAACTTAAACTTTGCTAGAAGAATCATATATATTTTTATATATTATTTTATAAAATATATATATTTTAAAAAAATTCAATTCTATTAGATAATGACTGTATGCTAGCCTTTTTTTAATGATAAAAATATATATGAATTATTTTAATAATATGTGATATTTTTATAACGAAAAATATATCGACTCTAAATAACAAAGTCCGCTCAGTGTAATATGAGGGCCCCCATACCCATCCCACCAAGACAAAAGGGGAGTTTCTCATTGAATGCAAACAAATGCAGCTTTTTAACTTCCAAAAAAAAAACACAAAATGAAAAAATAAAAATAAAAAACATTTATAGGGTGTTCCATTAGCAAGTAGCAATACCCCTTTTTGGTCACTGAATTTAATTATGCTTCTTGCCTTACCAATCTTTTCTTGGTGGGTGGAATTTATAAAGATACCCCCAATAATTATTTATCTTTTTTAATAAATAAATAAATAAATAAATTAGTACCTATATTTTGTATATTATTACTCCTTCGGTCTTCGTCTCAAATTATCTGTTGTATTTTTTAGAATAGGGAAAAACACACAAGTACCTCCTCAACCTATGTTCGAAATCTCAGAGACACACTTATACTACACTAAGGTCCTATTACCTCCTAAACAGCGTTGGACCCATAAGATAATGTCACTTAGGCCGAAAAGAGATAGAAAATTATGAATAAAATAAGTTCAGGGAATAATAGGACCTTAGTATAGTATAAGTGTGTTTCTGATATTTCGGACATAGGTTGAGGGGGTACTTGTGCATTATCCCTTTAAAATAAATACAAACAAGTATCCATTTTTTACACATTACTCTTTTACCGTCTCAAACTATCTATCATAATTTAAACATAATTATTTTTAACTTTTATGGTAATATTAAATTTTTTTCTCATTTTATATTTGAAAGTAATTATTTTTGAAAACTATAAATATTTTGATAGCGTAAATATTTTTTTTTTTAAATTATAGTTTTTTTAAGAATAAATGAGGATAAAATAACAAAAGAGAGATCTAATTAATATTTTTGTAAGAGCGGTATAAAAAAGTAGGACAAATAATTTGAGATAGGAGAAAAAAATATTTATTATTTAACTTATGAGCAATATTTTTTTTTCTCTAACTTTTTCTCTTTAAAATAATTCATGTGCTAAAAAGTTTTTTGTCTTTCTGAGTTTAATACACTAATAAATGCAACAAACTAATTTCAAAGATGCCCTTAAGCATGCAGATCTTTTACCAAGTATAAAATACTTTATTAACTTAGATTTAATATTAAAAAATTACATTTCTTTCTTCTTATTAATTCGTTTTTGGAAAAAGAAAAAGTGACGTTTTACATTTTTAATCTAAAGATATTTTATAGTGTAGAAGATTACTTGATATTATATATAAAAGATTTTTATCCTATATTGTGTGAATTTAATTTAAATTTTGTTTTGAAAACTAATTTTGGCTTATTATATATATATGAACATATTTATTCAAGTAGTTAATTAAGTCCAATGACATTAAAATTCTCCAAAAAATAAATATTCGATTCGATCTGATTAATATAAAAGTATTCATACTCTGATTTATTTTAATTTTATCAAATCAATATTAAAGTTTTCACACTTTGATTATGACATTATCATATTTTGATTTGATATTTGATATATATACTTTATAATAATTGATATTCGATATTTAACTCAAAATTTTAAAACACCAAATAATATACTGAAATACTTATAACATTTACGACTGTCACGACCCAAATCCGGGCCGCGACTGGCACCCACACTTACCCTCCTATGTGAGCGAACCAACCAATCTAAACCTTAACATTTCAATGTAATATCATCATAAAATAATGCGGAAGACTTAAACTCATTAATAAAAACCAATTCAATAACTATTATTATCCCCAAAATCTGGAAGTCATCACCACAAGAACATCTATGATCAAATTACTAAACTAAGAGTATTCTAAGAAGCTGAAAATACATAAAAGCTAGTCCATGCCGGAACTTCAAGGCATCAAGACATGAAGAGGAAGATCCAGTCCAAGCTAGAAGCATTAGCTCACCCTGAAGATCCGGTGTGACGAAGACTGGCTAGAATTACTGCTGAGTTGAAGACGACGGCACGTTTGCTGCACTCCACAAATAACAAAGAAGAAAACATAAAAGTAGGGGGTCAGTACAAACACGGGTACTAAGTAGATATCATCGGCCAACTCAAAATAGAAAACAGTATATATTAAGCAATATCATAAAATCAACTAATATCCTTAGCATGCAGCATTTACAGTTACCATAACCCTTGGTTACAACACCAAGCACATCAATGAGGACTCACGCCTCCTCATCATACTCATTTGGGAATTCGGTTCATTAAATTGAATATATTAACATCTTTCAAGATTCATTATCTTTATTCCCCTCGTGTCGGTACGTGACACTCCGCTCCTCAATATGCTATCCT